AGAGGGAGAGGGAAGAGGGAGAGATTGTTTGACCTCGTCTGTTTTAACTTCTTCCTTTGCAGTGGCCTGGTTCACTTTTGACCCCAACTCTGGCCACCGGGACATCATCTTGTCCAATGACAACCAGACAGCCACCTGCAGCAGCTATGATGACCGGGTGGTGCTAGGCACAGCTGCATTCTCCAAAGGTGTGCACTACTGGGAGCTACATGTGGACCGGTATGACAACCACCCAGACCCTGCCTTCGGGGTGGCCAGGGCCAGCGTAGTCAAGGACATGATGCTGGGCAAGGACGACAAGGCCTGGGCCATGTACGTGGACAACAACCGCAGCTGGTTTATGCACTGTAACTCCCACACCAACAGGTGCGCAGCCACCCTGCCCTCCGAGGATTCAGGGGTTGGGGATAAGTGTCTTGCAGACCAGTGTCCCTTTGATTGTCCCCAGGTGTTGGGAGAGGAGCTGTTTTTAGGTACTTCATACTCTAGTTCCGGGAGGCTTGGACAATGATTGGGAGAAGTAAACCATTTGCCTGTCGCATAAATGGAAGGACTTGATGGCAGGAACAGCTCTGGCCCAGTGGCTCTTCAGTCCCCAGCTGGCCTCTGCTGGGAGCTTAATTTGTGGTTTTCTTACACAGAGTCCTGCTCCAATTATCTTTACAGTCATCAAGCTAAGCCCGAGTCACTGCACAGAGCTAATGGGAGACTTGTTTCCCACAGAGGGAGCAGAAGTCATTGCCATGGCCGGTGGTTTTGCCTGGAATGACCCTGTCACTGCCCTGGGGAAAAAGGAACTTCAGTCTCAGGGAGCTGACCTCACTGGGCTCCTGGCGGGGTTGCTCCGTCCCTGGGGTGCTCGTGTTCTTGGCGCCCTGGTTGCTCTTACAAAAAGAGCTGAGTAACCCAGCTCCTCCCACAGGAAAGCCAGGTCTAGTTTGGCCAGGAACTTGCCTGAGGGCCCTCAGGTCCCTACCTGACCACTACCTTTTTTTTTTTTTTTTTTTTTTTTTTTTGGTTTTCCAAGACAGGGTTTCTCTGTGTAGCTTTGCACCTGTCCTGGAACTCACTCTGTAGACCAGGCTGGCCTTGAACTCACAGAGATCCGCCTGCCTCTGCTTTCCGAGTGCTGGGATTAAAGACGTGTGCCACCATCACCCGGCTCTGACCGCCCTTCTTTTCACCACTGTCTTTCTCCTCTCCAAAGGCTTATGGGAAGGGCAGTGGCTATCCCTATGGACTCTCTAGCTGGGCTATAGAAGTGACCAGGCACTACAGGTTGACCAAGTAAAGCAGTCTGGCTAGTACTTCAGACTAAGTGGTGTAGGTTAAGCAAGTGATACAGACTGATCAGGTGATGCAGACTGACCAGGTGACGCAGGCTGCTGACTAGGTGCTGAAGGCTAACCAGGTGGCACATGCCAGGTGGTACAGGATGACCAGGTGCTCCAAACTGACCAGGTGGTGCAGGCTGACCTGGCGATGCACACTGACCAGGTGCTGTGGATTTCCTGGGTGCTACAAGCTCACTTCCCTCCACCTCTAACCCAAGGGCCTACCAGTTCCATGTCTGTGTGCTTAGCCGACGTCCACCTGAACACTCTGTGATGGCTGCAGTAATGACCTCAAGCTTACATTAGGTGCTGACTAAGCACCCTTAATCCTTACAAAAGCCCCATCTCTGTTGCAGATTATGAGGCAAGTTTAGGCAGGCTGGGCTTTGCTCAGACCCGGGGAGAATAAGAGGGGCTGTTAGGATTTAAAGAGGACATCAGTGGAGTCTCCTATGGTGAGAACTCCTCAATCCCCAGGGCACAGGCTGTCATGTTCCCTAAATGCTCTGGAGCCCTTGCCAGGCAGCCCCTTGGCTTCCCAGCAGAGGATCAGAAGGAACATGAGAGACAAAAGATAGCAGAGGGAAGAACTATACCTGTGTGTACTCCTCCCATGTCCCAGGGTGGGGCAAATGCAGGTGACCTTCCTTCCAGAAAAGAAGCTTGACACTGCTCCCAGACATGACCTTGATGCTAGGGGATGGTTGTGTGGAAAGCTGGCAGGTCAGACTTGTCACCACTGCCACCTGGTGTTTAGTACTAGATGTGCAGTGACTGTCCAGTTCTGGTTTCCCTTCCCATCTGTTGGACCCTTCTGCACGGAGCCCTAAGGCACCTCCAGGACACCTGCCCTCTTCAGGAGCATCCTCCTTTCGGCCAGTCCACCAGGTCCTTCTAAGACTTCATGTCAGGAGCTCTTCTCACTTCTCACCTCTGCCCCTGGCTCAATCCTAACCGAGGTCTCACAGTTTCCTCCCAGAGCTGAGCAAGGTTGATGCTAAGGGAGCCCTTAGCTGATGAAGGGCAAGTCTGCTGACGGGCACAGAGGCTTCAATGTGAGGTCTTCCAGGTCCATCACTTAAAGTTCCTCCCCGCCTGAAGGTAGATTTTTACCATCCCAGAAATGTCTTAGTCCCAACATTTGTCAAGTGCTCCAAAACTAGCATGGTCACCTGCGGAGTGGTGATTCAGGGGACTTGATTCCCAGTTCAGCATGCATCTCCCACCACACGCTGCCAGTCCCCTGGGAAAGTTCTGTGCAGGTGAACTGAAGGGGCATGTCCTTTCCAAATGTCTCTGGGCCTTGAGAACTGCATCTCCATCTGGCTCAGTATCATCACGAGACTGAAAAAGGAAAGATGACCCACCGCTTCTCTTCTGTACTCATGCTTGGTGCCTTGTGGTTTCAGGAGGGATCCACCCAGCCAAACTCTCGTTCCCTGGTGTGTGGGTCTCAGGCACTATGGATAAGAAGGGGCTGAGCAGCTTGGTCCCCCAGGGTTGTCTTTTCTTGTATCTGACATACACACATACCCTTAGAGGCTGATTTTGGATGAGGATGTTACCAATATCTTTGGGGTATTCTGAGTTACTGTGATATCATAAGCTGGATGTGGTAACAGGTTTTCCTGGCTTATCTTCCTAGGACTGAAGGCGGTGTGTGCAAGGGGGCCACTGTGGGCGTGCTGCTGGACCTGAACAAGCACACACTGACGTTCTTCATCAATGGGCAGCAGCAGGGCCCCACAGCCTTCAGCCATGTGGATGGGGTCTTCATGCCTGCTCTCAGCCTCAACCGAAATGTGCAGGTATACTCCGAGCCCAGTCCCTGAAACTTGTCTGCTTCCTGGACAGTGTGCACTGTCACAAAACTGGGCACCTATTTGCCAGACAGGCAGTTTGCCGGCCGGCCTCTCTGAGCATCCCTGGAGGAGGTTCCAAGTACTACTTGATCACTTGGAGCAAAGAGGCTCGGAGGGGCTCCAGGGAGGAGCAGGGGCTCCGTGCCCCAGGGGAATGGGATGGCACAGGAGCTCCTGATACAGGCCAAGTGAGAGGTCAGAGGACAGGGACATCCCTCACTTCTAACAGATTCCTTCTGTTCCTGGGGCCATCAAGGGACCTGCCTTGTGTCTACTGCCCAGCAGCTGGGTCCACAACAGTCTGGCATTGGTTACTTGAAAAGGGAAACCGAGGAGCACAGTGTGAGCTGTCGGGTTACTAGAGGAGACGGCAGGTGCAAAGACTCAGCCGTGAGAACCGGAGCCCCTCAGGGCTCCACGGCGCTAGCCAAACAGGGAACCAACCCAGCCGGTCATCCGTGTCGCTCCTATTGTGAGGGAAGATATACAAGGTGACACTTAGCCATGTGAACAAATGAGCAGCAAGTCCACAGCGTAAGTTCTCCACTGGCCACGGGGGGCCCATGTGGCCACAGTACTGCCACAGTGTTTGGTGTTATGGATAGCTTCTCCTGCCCTTTGTTCTTCTCCATTCCCCCTGCCTCCCGCCTCTTTCTCCTCTCCTCCTGTGTTAGGGACGGGCCCCAGGGCCTTTGCACACTCTGCAAGCGTTCTGCCGCTGAGCCAACCCCTGCTTGCTTCATCTTTTCCAGGTCACCTTGCACACAGGACTGGAGGTGCCAACAAATCTAGGACGGCCAAAGCTGTCCGGCAACTAGCCTGGTGGCCCCTGCGGCTGCCTGCCTGCCTGGTTGTGGTGGCGGCCCTCAGAGGACAAGGGCACAGCAGGAAGTCCTGGGCCCCAGCAGCCAGTCCATGTCTGAAGATGCTCTTTTGGGGGAAATGGAAAATGAATGGGCTGTGAGCCACATGGCCATACTGCGGCTGCCGAGGTCAGGAGTGGCCTTTCACCTCTACGCCACAGAGCTTAGGGTTCCCAGTGCTCCGGAAGGCTTTGGTTTCAGGCTTCTGTTTTCTGACACCTTTTGAAAAGTTTGATTTCCCCTTAAATTTTTTTTTTTTCCTGGAGGGAGAGTGGAAGGCTAACTTGGAGACTGGTATCCCAAGACCAGTCAGCGCTGTGACGTCACTCCATGCCTGCTTGTAACCCGTTGCTAGGACTCTGCTCCTTCTGGAGTCCCAAGCTGGCAACTTGTCACCTCTGCTGGAAGAAGCTGACCTTGAGCCTTTGGGATCTGTAGTCTTCAATACACTGCAAACGAATTCAGGACTAATGGAACATTAATCATTAATGAACTACTAGAACCATTCAGAAGGGCTTCCTTACCGCCTTTACTATTAACCATGTGCTATCAATACCACCCCCCCACACACACACACACACATAGTGTGTGTGTAACAATCAGGTGTTTTTGTTTTTTTGTTTTTTTTTTGAGACAGGGTTTCTCTGTGTAGCTTTGGAGCCTGTCCTGGAACTCACTCTGTAGACCAGGCTGGCCTCAAACTCACAGAGATCTGCCTCTGCCTCCCGAGTGCTGAGATAAAAGGCGTGTGCCACCACCGCCTGGCTCAATCCGTTAACTTTTATTCATTCAGTTCTAAGTTCCAAATGGAAACCCTGGAATCCAAGACAGTGACATGTCTTGGCACGGCAGTAGCTTTCTCTACAACCTGATTCCCCAGAAATTGATGGAAATAAACTGCGTTGCCTTCCTAGGCTAGGCCTTGAGCACAGAAGCAGCAGACCCCGGAAAGACCTCTCATCAAGCAAGCCCCTACGGCTTCACCCAGTGCCCTGTTGGAAGTATCACCAACATGAGGTCCACGTCCTTCACTTCCGGACGTCAATTGGGGCCAAACATCCAGGTTTCTCCTTTTTGCATTCCGGCTGATAAAAAAGAAAAAAAAAAAAAAAAAAGGAAGTATCACCAACATGAGAAGCGGCCCTGGCGGCAACATGGGGTGGCTCTGTCACAATGGGACAGATGAGACCCCCGGAGAAAGGCTGAAACTAGATGATGACACCCTACAACTTCTCTTCCCACGTGAGCCAGGGTTCCCTGGGGTTCTTCTGAGGAGCGCTGCCCTTGCTGGCGAGGTCCACAGGAAGTCATCCCCACCCCCAGGCCTCATGTCACCCCTGCCTGTCTCCTGCAGTCTCCAGCTCTGTCTGCCAGTGTCCTTGCTCTCTCCTTTGGAAAGAATTCATTTCATCAAGTGTTTCATTTTATACCGAGGGATGACTGGCCCATCAGCTGGGCTGTTTTTCTGTTTTGTTTTGTTTTTTAAATATCAGATCTGCACCGATCCCAACTGTGCTTCCTCACTGCCTTCGAGCATAGGCCCTGCACCTGCTCCCAAGTACCCACCGCTGGGCTGCCCAGACCCTCCAGTCCTACCTCAGAGTTCTCACTGGTGGCCCTGGTTTTCTCAGATGTCACCAGGAGCAGTTCCACGCTGTCCAGCCTCCGCCCTGGGCCCTGGAGCCACCTTCATGGCAGAGGTGGACCTTTGGCTTCTTTGGACTCTCTTCCTGCTAAGTGCTCTCTGGCTCAACGGCTCATAATTGCATCTAGAGCCCTCAGGGCAGCCCGCGGGGCCCTGGCTACCATATCCTCAGTTGCTCAGCAGGTCCTGTTGTCCCACGGCCACAGCTCTGGAAGATCCCAGCAGAGGGAGGGAAAGGTGCTTCTGAGTGAAGAGCATGGAGGAGCCTCTGCCCTCCTGGACCCAGGCAGCCACATGTGGCGGTGGTCAGGGGTGGTGGTGCTGGTGCTGGTCCAAGTGTCTGGCTCTCTTGTGGGAGAGCCCAGAGACCTTGGAGTAAGAACAAGCAGAAAGGCTGGCCAAGGGGAGCCCCTGTAGTCTTTAAAGCCTGGGTCAAACACCTGCCTGGTGGGGGCAGGAGTCACTTGGGCAGATCTGAATCTGTGGATCGCTTGGGGGAGATAAGGAAATGGCCACAATTCCAGGTGACTTCTTTTTTCTGGTGCTGGAGAATCCAACCCATGGCCTTGGTCCTGCACATGCTAGGAAAGTGGTCAACCATTGAGCCCCCAGAGCTCTAGGTCACTTTCCTCCTCCTCCTCCCCCCTTGTCCTCCCCCTCCTCCTCTTTCCCCTCCTCCTCTTCCTCCCCCTCCTCCTCTACTTCTTCTTCCTCCTTCTTCTTGTTATTTTAGTTTGTTTGAGACATGGTCTCACACTGTAGCCCAGGCTGGCCTGGAATTCACTATATATCTCAGGCTGGCCTTGAACTCACAGCAATCCTCCTGCCTCAGCCTCCTGAGTACTGGGATTACAGAGGTGAGCATCACACCCAACTCAGGTGTGTCCTCTTTAAGGAGTTCCCTGAAGTTGAGCCAGGAAGACCCAGCTCCCCATCTCCCACAGCAGCATGGGTGGGGGAGGTGGCTAGACACCTCCCTTTGCTCACCAGAGCCCAGAAGCAATACGCTGATGCCAGGGACAACCCGGGCCGCCCTGCACAGCCACCTCCCCTGCCTTCCGCACAGGGCACCTTTCAGGGACCAGGATGCACGGATGAGAGACAGGCGGGACGGTGTCCCACACTTGGGAGTTTGAGGCGATCAGAAAAGCTAAGTCCTCACAGTGGCAAGGCCCTGGAATTGCAAGTGACAGACAGATAGATCATGGGGTCACCTTAGCAGCTGGTGACTGAGGTGACATTGCTGTATATACACAACATCAAGGTGAGGCCTTCCTTGGTGGGCCACTGAGAAGGAACTTGGGGTAGGTCTGCGAGAAAGACATTCAACTCTGAAGCCTGCTTTCTGTGTGGGTCAGTGAATGCCAATCCCTTAGAAACGAATGTCCTTGACAAATACTCACTGGCACCTACGCCACACACACACACACACACACACAGCACCTCCCCCCTCACAGCAGGGCAGCAGTATCCACAGCCCAGGCTTTCCCTCCTCTGCCCTGTCTGGAGACGCGGTCTCAGCTTTAGAGGACAACTGCCTGGCCTTGGTACTCTCACACTGTATGTGGTCCAGGCTGTACCTTCAGTCCTTTGTGTGCTCTGTGGTTCCAAAAATGTTCTTAGCTGCCCTGTAGCCCCAAGGGGTCCAGAGCCAGGAAGCAATATGCTACCAGGGCGAGCCCTGAGACATGGGCGAGCCCTGAGGCATGGGTGAGCCCTGCGAGATGGAGAATGCCCACTCTATTGAGCCCTTTCTCTTGTTCTTGTTGCCCTCCCCCTCCCCCGGCCCCCTCAGGTCAGGGCCAGAGTGCAGTGTCCATGTGAACTGACTTTCCCGGGGGCAGCATGTCAGCCTTAATTCTGTGAGTCAAAGGCTTGCTTCTTGAGTGGAGACGTGTTTCAGCGCAGGTAGTCTGGGTTTGCCCTTCGTGAGGCTGTCTCCAGCCCCTATGACCTCCCTCCCAGTGCAGAGAGGAGAAGAGAGAGGATAAAATCCTTCGGGGAATCTCAATATGGGAGTGTGAAGAACACCATCACAGGACTGTGGGAGTGGCCCCAGGGGTGCTTAATGTTGACCTTTGGGGTGGGGCCTGAGTGCTGGAAAGCATTAAGCACCCATGATCTCTACCCTCAAGATGCCAAGAGCACCCCAGTTAATGTGACAAAACCAAATACCTAGAGACATCCATATACCCCTTTGGGGCTGACCTGGATCTGGGTCATACTGATTTATTGGGTGTTGACATTCATAGTGTTGGTACCCATTCCTGTGTCACATAGGAGGTCTGTCCTAAAGCCACTGGCCTCCTATTACCCCAACGTACGAATTCTTCACAGGTCTTCAGTGGAGCGTGTGAGGGAAAGGGGCTTACATTTCTGCTTACTGAAGATAGTGGCCAACCCCACCTCTACTCTTGGAAAGAAAATGTCCTTCCCTTCATTTTTCTTGGCCACATTTTCCTGGAAGGAACAGGGATATCTTAATAGATTTGGGACCCTCAAGGAGTTAGAGCAATCTCATAATATATTGTTAGAAGACGTTCAAAGTCCACACTGGTCCTGGGAACTCTTACCCCAGGAACAGCCAGTTGTCAGTGACAGCATGGTATGGGTTCTTGGTTGAGTGGGGTCTTGACAGCTGGGGAAGAGGTGAAGAGGTGAGCCAAGGTAAAGAAGAGGCTTGAGGCAGAGAGACGATACAGCAGAGTATCTCTCAGTACTTAGCTCTTAAGTTGGCTTTGATGTTGGCTCATGGCATGCATGGGGGTGAATATCCTACTTGTTCTGTGCCTCAGTATCCCTGCCTGCAAACAAGACTGGTCACACCAACCTACCTCCTCTCTGTATTGTGCGGATCATGAAATAGTCTCATTGGTAAGGTCCAGGCTGAATATCTCACATTCAGTGGCTCAAACCTGGATGACTTTACTGTGTCCTCTGACTACGGTGTCTTCCACCCAAGCTTCCTATGATCAGGCAAGTATTTTTCACATAGCTGCCTGGCCATCTGAGCCAGTTCACATGACTACAGCAAGCACATCCCATTAACGGAGAGCCTGGGTTAATGCCATGTTCCAGGGCTTTAAACAGGCCAAACCTGTCAGCAACCTTCTCTTGAGTGCTAAAGGCATCTGCATGTAGTGTCCCCTAAGCCAAGAAAAGATGTTAGCCAGCCTTCTGCCTCCTGTTCCTTCAGTTCTGGTCTCTAAGGCATCCCCCTACTCACGCACAGCCTTTCACTTTTATTTCCCCAACAGTAGGGGTGGCTTTGGAAGACATCTGAGAGTGTCATGACATACAGCTGAACTGGGACCTCGAGGGGATGGCTAATGACAAGTCCATTTCAGACAACTGACTGCTGTTGGGATTTCCTGGCACAGGCTATGAAGGGTGGGGAGCCTGACCTTTTCCATGAACAGTGTTGAATCCAGAAGCCGGGATTGGACTCTAAATGAGGCGATTCCCTCAAGTGGTGCAGCTCACTGAGGGCCCAGCTGTTGACCCAGCCCTGGGAGAGGGCCCAGAGTGTGAGGACTAGCAGGGCGGCACTGGGCATCAAGCCTTTGTGCGCATCGCTGAGCAGATGCTAGACAGGCCTTGGGATGACTACCGGAGCTCCTGTAGTGGCCTTTCCAACTCCAAACCCCCAGAGACTGGACTTCCTAAGCCCCCCACTTTCTCAGCCCCAGCAGAGAGTGGGGTGTAGACACAACAGAAAACGTGAATGCATGATAAAGAATCGCCGCCTTTGCACTTCCCGGCGCACTGAGCATGAAAGATGTTTGTATAATGTTGGCAAAGGAATTTACCAGAAACAGAAAGCTGTGTACTGTTGTTTTGGCCCCCTTTTCCTGCCCCTTCTTGCCTCCTCTCCCCACCCTCCCTACCACATTGATTCTGTCCCCCGTGGTTGGTATTTGGTGGCAGCTCTTGGTCCTGTGGCTGTTCATGTTTTGCTGAGAACACAGAGGGGTGGGCAGTGGTAAGGAAAGGAATTTTTTCTAATTTTTGTATTAGGTATCCACAAGCGTTTGTATTTTTTGAATTGCAAACACTGTGTTTTCTGGTCTTTAGGAGGTTGGTTGAACTTCCTGTATTACTTTTTGAAAAACTTGAGTTTTACCACATTCTTAAACAGATTTGAAATAAATTCTTTTGACACTGCCAACAACTGGAAGTCAGGTGTGGTCTGTGGTCATTGATGAGGGGACACTTCCCCATTTCCACAGACTGGCCCTGCTAACCACTGGTCATTCGTTTTAGTTTAGTGGGCTCCAAAATCTCAAAGTAAAGATGTGGTTTCAAATTCTAAGGCACCATTTTCCACAATGAAATTAGGGTTTCATTAAAATTTTTTTTAAGTGTGTGTGTGTGTGTGTGTGTGTGTGTGTGTGTGTGTGTGTG